TTTCCTGCGTTCAATCGTCATTCTATATCCTTATCATACCGACCATCTCTGCTAAATACACATCGCAAATACACAACTTGCTCGACCAACTCCCCTTCTATTCTTATTTCACAAATCGTTTTACTTTCTTCTCTTTCAAAAATCATAACTTTCGTCTTGCGTTCACTTTCATTCCCTTTTCTTTTAACGCCCTGTTCATTAATGTAATCATCATTTGCAACTTGGCCACCGACGATGCAATTATGATTTGATCATCGGCGTGCAAAAAGCATTTGACGGTTAACACACCCATTCTCAACCCACATTCAGTATTTGCCATAGCACATCTCTGTCCACTCTGTCGAAAGCCTTTTCCAAGTCCACGAAGGCACAAAAAACTTTTTGATTTTTGGCCAAAAACTTCTCCGCGACCATGCGCATGGAAAAGACCTGTTAACTACACCCACATTCCCTTTCTAAAATCCATTTTTTTTTGCTTGCACATCCCAAATCTTTCGAGAACCTTTTGTCCCCATCGGTTTTTACTTCTTCGAGCTATATGGCCGGCCATTGGGGTATGTCGGTTACTCTGGTTTTACTACGGATATCCTCATTTATAAATTTATCACGCAGATAAACTCCGAGCAAAACCCTCTCCACAGGTCGCTGAGCGACTTTGAGCGTCCTAAGGACCACGTCTCGGATCTATGAGTCATCACTGGAAACACGCAATGGTTGTACAGTCTCGTTTTCGAGTTTTCAGGTATACCTGACGAGAAGATGTGTAATTTCCCGGACGCTGCCCAGCCGAGTTAAATCGGTCGATTGACCTTTTAGTCGAAGTTGGACTTACCAAGTTGGTCTATTTGTCCCAGGTAAACATACTCGTCAACAAACTCAAGGCTAAGTACTCCCAACAACTACCAGCATAGGTATGACATGAACGTTATGCATAATCTTTGTTTCGTCCATGTTCATCTTAAGACCTTTCCGTTGAAAGGCGCTATCGAGGTCATTGAGCATAGTGCTTAGGTCCTCCAGCGATTTTGCCCTAACTATATCGTCAGCAAATCGAAGGTGAGTGATGTGCTCGCCATTGATGTTAATACCGTATTCTTTCTAGTCCAGTAACTTGAAAACATCTCCCAATGCAGCAGTGAAGAGTTTCGGGGATATGATGTCACCCTGTCTTACACCTCTCTGCAGTTGAACAGGTATCGTACTCTGGTTCTGTACTCGGATAGCCATCGTAGTCCTTCTATACAAACACTTCAGCACTTCGTTATACCGACAGTTAACTTGGCACCGATGAAGGGACTATAGCACCGCCCGGATTTCGATGAAACCAAAGGCTTTCTCATAGTCCACATGCGCAAGACATTATGGCAAATTGTACTCCTTGGTCTTTTGTACAATTTGCCATAGGGTATCTATGTGGTCTATGGTCTATGGTTTGGGAGGCTGGAAGCCATCGAGTCTGCGTGCGAGACGATTCGTCAATGACTCTCGAAAACAGCACGTAGACGTGGCTCAGAAGGAAAATCGGTGTGTAGTTCTCGAAAGGCGACAACGCTCTCTTGGAAAACAAGACCGCCGCACTTCTGCTCCATGATTCCGGAGTAGTCCCGCCATGGAGGACGGAATTAAAAAGCTTTTGAAGGACTTCAAGTACCGGTTTTCCATCCGCTTTCAGAAACTCCGCTGCTCCATCCTCGCCGGGTACTTGCCGTTTCTAAAGTTCTGGTGTGTCATTCTAAATTCGCTCAGACTGATATCTGGGATATCATCGGAATAGTGTGGGATAAAACTTGCTCTTGGATTGTTACCCACGCTTGTGTGTGGCTACAACGATGATGTGTACAGGTGTCCATAGAACCTCTCAATCTCACTCAAAATCTCAGGTGTCCCGTAAACGATGCTGCCACATTTGGTCTTCAGCTTCCACAGTTGGCTCTTTCTGGTTGAGAGATCTCTGGCAAAGACTTTGGAGCCCTGGTTCCGCTCGACCGCTTCTTCAACACAAGCAGTATTAAAGTTATGTAAGTGCTGCGGCATGTTTTTGGAGATTTGTTTGTTCAGTTGCCAATATACTGTCAAACCCACTGAAGACTGCAGCTTTATTTCCCTTCTAACAGCCATTAGGTTAAGAGTGTGATCGGAGAGTTTTGGTGTTCTTCTGCGGCGGGTCTTGCAAAATTTAGCTCCGACTGCATGGACAGTTTCTACGAGCTAGTCATTGATGCAGTGGACGATACATTGCAATCTTCTAGGCACTAAAAACGGTTTTGCAACTCGAGCTGAAAGGTTACTAGACTTTGAATTAGAGCACGAGTGAAACGGAGCGTTGACTTTATTAGGCGACACCTCTCCAACTTAACGTTAGGATCAGTGTGCCTCTAACCATTCAGTGATCGCTACCAGTTTTCACCCTCGCGATCACTGAGACATCACTGAACAGTCGCCGCCTAGTCGTCATAATGAAGTCAATCTTTTAAATCTTTTATTTCTCAAATGATTCTCGTCATCAGTCATCCTTTTCAAATCTTTAACTTATAATATAATCAACCACTGTAAGATTTACTGTGGCATATATACGGTTATTTTTCAAAGAGTAGCCAAATTTAAACTCATTTAAAATATATAAATAATGATATACCATTACTTCAGTTATTCACGAAACGAGTAAATAAGATTTTTACTTTTATTTAAATAGTATCCCAAATGAATATGACTTATGGGCATCAACTACGCGTACGTGCGCCCCTCTGTGTGTGATTCACGTTCTTGCCGACCGATCGACCCTTACGAATGCATACGTGCGCAGTAAAATAGATATTTATGAATGACATTTTGTTAAAATAATAATATATTACCATGCATTTTGTATTTAAAAGATAAAAAGGACAGTATGATTGAGATATTTTAACTAATTTTTCTTCAACATTACTTAATATGAACCTTCACTGCAAATTTGGCCGGTTATTGCAAATTAATCCTATATAAGTATACGAGCCGTGTTTAAAGCGGTAGGGTCTATATTCGTATAGCATGTGACTCGGAAAAGAAACTACGTGTTTATGTTATGACCGTTTACTTGAGACTAAAATGCATACAATGCAGTTAATGTCACCTTGAGCCCTTGACATACCGGCCGCCAAAAACAACTGTTTTTAAATACATTATGTATACATAATCATAACCGTCTTAGTTCACAAATATGAAAATAACTTGCAAAACATGACAACATGTATTCAAGCATTTAAGAAGTAAACATAAATGTGTTTATTTACAATCCATAATAGTATACACAGGTACACAAAACATAAGCAGCTTACTTACGTGAATTACTAACTAGATAATGGGTACACATGAAGTAATGAACTTAATTTAAAATTCCTAAGTAACCACTTTTATAACAATTTGTTCGCAACTATAAATAGCTAATGTTACATATCTTTAGTGGACTGTATTATATTATATGATTTAATCAGCTATGTAGGAACAAACTGTAAACATTTTTTGTGTAAATAAATTATATTGTAAAACTTCACTTAATTGACATAATGTATTACTTATTGTGTGTATATAAACCAAATTTAAATTTTACATGTAAATATAATATAATGTGTTAAGTAAATATAAAAATCTGAATTAGCTGATCACCATGTGCAAGACTCCCCTTTTTTTTATATATACCTAGTCAGGTCATAAATTCTGTCACATGTTTAATATAAAATAATTGAAACAAGTTTATTCATTATGTAACCATTTATATACCACAATAAACTTAACAAAACATAGATTCTTATGACACTAAAGTTTATTCAAAATGACCTCCGTGATTTTGAATACAGGCCTTCAATCTACGCGGCCAGTCGTCTATCGCAGCACGAACGAGGTCCATGTCAATATCGGCGGCTGCCTTAATCAAGGATGTCTTGAGTGACTCCAAATTGGGATGAGGCTTTGAGCACGCCTTTTCCTCCAAGTGTTGCCATATCTAGTAATCTAACGGATTCAAATCTGGACTGGAGGAGGGCCAGTCTTCGTGCCGGATGAAGTCGATTTAACGCGCCGCCAGCCAGTCTTGTGTGCTCTTCGCTCTATGAGCTGGCGCCGAATCTTGTTGGAATACCCAGTGCCTGTTATTGAACATGGTATGAGAAACTGGTTCCACAAGGTTCGTCAGGACTGTATTTTGATACACACCTGCATTCGTTTTTACACCTTTCTCACAAAAATATACCTCTGTTAAGCCCCAATAAGAAACTCCCAACCATACCATGAGCGAGGATGGAAAATGACCTCGTTGGACACGCGGAATACGGTTGCTCGCTTCTTCACTACTGTGTGCGTACACCTTATCATTTTGTTTGTTGCAGCTCTCTTCTACGGCAAAAACTTTTTCATCCGAAAAAAGAATTTCCCGATATTTTTTTCCCGCGTACCGCTTCAACAAAGCGCGGCATCTCTTCAGTCTCAGGTCCATTAGACGAGCATTCAAACGATGTCCTGCTTTTCTTCGATATGCCGAAGCCCTAAGTCTTCATTTAACACCCTTTCCACCGTGGTTCTGCTTAACCCCATCTGAAGGGCCAACAGTTTCTGCTTACGTTTGGGATTTCTTTGAATTCGCGCCTTCACAGCTTTTATCACTGCTGGAGTCCTAACAGACCGAGGGCGACCACTTCTTGACCTGTCATCTACACTAGAGTCTTCATTGTATCATTTGATAGTACGATAAACGAATCGTTTGGTTATAATCAAATTTTTCAGTATGTCAAAAATTTGAATTAGCGCGTAACCGCAACGATGCAACGCAATAACTGCAACACGGTCTTCTTTAAGCGCCCACTCCATATTTAAAAATGCGTAAAATTCTAAAAAGTGTACAGTTTTATTTTCATGAACAATTCGAAATTCGAATTCAATAAACTTTTTTTGTGGCCAGCATTCTAAAAGAAAAGTTTTTACTGTATAACAATACTTATGACCTGACTAGGTATATATATATATATATTTCAATAGGGCTCAGGTTTAATAGGAAGTAAAATTAGTTTTGAAAGTGGCCGCTTCATCACAACATTTCGCTTACACCTTACAGAAACAACTCGAACCAATTTCTCTGAACCTGGGTGTAAGGTGATTATTTTTCCTAAAAGCCACTTACATGGAGCTAGATCTTCTTCCTTTATTATGACTATATCCCCAATGGATGGGGATCGTACAACCCTTTGCCACTTATATCTTTGTTGTAAGGTTTGTAAATAATGTGCTTGCCATCTTCTCCAAAAATTTTGAATTCTGTTTTGAATGAACTGCCATCGTGTCAACAGATTAACGTTTTTATTAACATAATCGTTTTCAGGAAGACCAATTAGTGGCTCACCGATCAGAAAATGTCCTGGTGTTAATGGGTCAAGAGTCTCCAGCGTATCATCCATTTGACACAGAGGCCGTGAATTGAGGCATGCTTCAATTTGAGCCAATAATGTCGTCATCTCCTCGTAAGTCAACCTAGTTGCACCACTTATTCTATAAAGATGCTGTTTGGCGGACTTCACACCGGCCTTCCATAAACCGCCGAAATTTGGAGCTTTGGGTGGTATAAAGTGCCAAGTAGTGCCGTCGTTGGCTAAAAGTTCAGCTATTTCTTTAGCCATGTTGTTCTTACCAACTTCAAACATACGTCTCAGTTCCTTTGCAGCGCCTACAAAATTAGTGCCGTTGTCACTCCACAAATGTGAACAATGGCCTCGTCTAGCAACAAATCTTCGAAAAGCTGCAATAAATGCTTGCGAAGTAAGGTCGGTGACACATTCCAAATGTATTGCCTTAGTCGACATACACACGAAAAGACAAATGTAGCCCTTTGAAGACTTCTGACCTCGACCCTTTGATGTCCTTACTTGTATAGGGCCTGCATAATCTACACCACTGCTGGAGAACGCACGAGATGGAGTCACCCTCGGCGCAGGCAATTGTCCCATCAGTTGTTGCTTCGTTTCAGCCTTGTCTCTTATGCATGTTGTACAATTACGGATAAATCCTCTTACTTTAGGTTGATAACCCAAAACTTGCGTCTTATAAAGGCCATCGTTTGCAGTACGCCCCCGTGTAAGGTTTTTGCATGACCGTCGTTTATTATAAGTCTGGTAACATGTTGCTTTGCTGGTATGATAATTGGGTGCTTAATATTCGTCGATAAAAACTCTGCATTATTCAATCGACCTGCAACCCTCAACAATCCATGTTCATCTAAGTAGGGTGTCAAATTGGCCAATGAGCTTCCACTTCGCACTCTTTTTTAATCACGCTACCTCTTGTCTATACATTTGTCCTTGGTAAAATTTAACGCATCTTGTTTCTATTAAATTCATCAATTGTTAAGAAATTTTCCTTTTTCCCTTTGTTCGGTAAGAACCTTCTGCAGTATGCTAAAACTCGTTTCATTTTTGACAACGAAGAAAATCTTTGCCAAATCGGTTCTCCTTCAAAATAACTATGAAATGCGTTCTTGCTTTCTAATTATTTTGAAGGAGAACCGATTTGACCTACCGCATTAAACATCCGGCTCGAAAGACCATATGTTTAAAGCGGTAGGGTCTATATTCGTATAGCATGTGACTCGGAAAAGAAACTACGTGTTTATGTTATGACCGTTTACTTGAGACTAAAATGCATACAATGCAGTTAATGTCACCTTGAGCCCTTGACAAGCCGGTTGTATGGTTCTTGACTAAAACAAGTTTGGTGTCTGCACCAGATAAGGGTCAGCTCACACTGAGTCGTAACGTGACGCGACGCGGCGCGCAATTTTTGAGATCGTGATACAAAATACAACTTTATTTACTACACAAAAGTATACATATTTCATTTAGATAATTCGAAAATGTTCCGTGGCGTTGAGCTACGCCGCGTTGCACTTCGAGATGCCTCGAGATCACGACGCAGCGGCACTTCGTCTGTAGGCGCAGTGTGCAAGAGCGATGCGCTGCCATCGACTTCACGATGCACCTCGCGATGTCGCGATGCGTCTCATGGCGACGCGCTGCATGATGTGAAACCACTGGCCTCTGTCATGTATCGTCACGTCTCTATGTGAACTGACCCTTAGACGCGCAATATAATTTAATATGTATGTTCAAATGTTAAATAACAGCTCATGTTTTTGATACGTAGAGCAGTCTCTCTCGTGTGCTGATTTTTTCAACAAGTGGTCAAAACGTTTTGTTAAATGTCTAAAATAAATAAAATCAAAATGAATATTTTTCTTTTCATGACATTATTGCTTATTCAAAGGAGCCACGGAGTGATTTATGAATTAAATGGTAAGTAGGCACCCTGTTACGATGTTACGATTAGTGTTTATATGATCAGTTTTGTAAACGGTAGTTTTAACTATGATTATTATTTTGGGTTTGAGTTTGTTGTAAATTTAAAACATTCCAAATAAAATAAATTATCAATATTTTTTAAATTATTTATTATTATTTTAAGGCCATTAATAAATGTCAGGGTATTTTTTTCCAAAATATTGAACTCAGGTTTTTACTGTCCTTTCTTCTTTATTGTTCTTAAATAGTTTTTATGTTTAACAACATAATATGTTTGTTCTTATTATGTAATTTGAGGTTAATAATTAATAAAACATTTTAACATGTTTTCAGACCACTTGTAATATTCAAGTGTTCTTTGTATTACAAGACAATAGTTGAAGATCTTTAACGGTTTGAAAAATATAAATAAAATCTGTATTTTGTCAAGAGAAATTTTCTCTAAGAACGACTTTCAGTGCCGTTTTCACACTTCCCATCAGACGCTCCCAAGCTGCCCCCCCCCCCCTACAAATACAAGGACTGGCTAGAAACTTTTTTTATAGGAGAAGGGGCAAACGAGCTTGCGGCTCACCTGATGGTAAGTGACTACCGCCGCCCATGAACAACTGCAACACCAGGGCAATCTTGAAGTTCCCGAAGTCGTATTGGTCTGGAAAAATCGCTGGAGGTAATTGATTTCACAAGGAAGTTATGCGAGGAAGAAAACTAAATCGCAGAGTGGTGGACCGCCAATTATGCAGATGGTATGGCTGGTATCGCGAGTTTTGTCGCAATGTGCGATGATGAAATTGAGCGGCTGGAATTCGTCCGAACAATTCCTCAAAGCATTCCCCGTGATAGATTCGATAAAATACGCAAAGAGATGCAACTGAGAGATAAAACTGCTAAAAAAATCCTTCGCTTAACTCTTCAGCTATAATTTACTGCTGCTTAATTTCTTCAAAAGCTTTTCGACGTTCAGCATCAGCACCTAGCACGTTGGTTCCGTTGTCAGATATGACAGTATGGGGCCAACAACGGCGTGCAGCCATCCTCCTCAGCACCATAATAAGAGAGTCTGCTGTTAGCGTCGATACTATTTCAATATGTGCAAAAATATTATTTTTCTATTTTGTAAATGCATTCTACACAATCTTATATGCACGAAATAATAGGTACAAAAATAGTAATACATATATAGATAAATATTACGATCCTTGTTTTTAGAGAATTAGAGCCTAAATTTTAGTGTATTAAATCAAAATAATATTTTCTTTCGACTAAATTTGCTTTGTAATAGCGACTTTTTTGCGCGATTTAGCGGATTTTTGTTCGATAAAATGATTTTGCAATGAATTCTAAAGGTAAAATCATTTTATCGAAAAAGGAAACAAAAATTGATTGACTCTCAGGGTGGTCCCTAATATGGACTTATTTAATATAAATCGGTAAGATATGAAATCGTGGATTGTTAAGAATGGATTGGGTATGATAATTTTATTCAATACTAGCTGGTACCCCGCATTGCTGTCGCAGAAAAAATAATTGTGGAAATATCGTTTCAAATTTGGAAGATTTATATTGTTTAAATAAGAATGATAATATATGTATTGAAGTTGAGTGATATATACAAGTATTAGTTTCAAATAAATTTGTCGGTACGGTACGCGCGCCACCTACTGTAAGTTTATGTATGTACTGTAGTATTATGCTTATAATATAACCTTCGCGGAAATGCAAGCAATAAGTTGATAAAGTTTTACCGCAATCTAATGAATGGTATAGGAGCGTATAAAATACGAAAAAACAAAAATTATTTTTTATATATTAAGATAACAAGGCATCGTTCAAACGCTTGCTCTGGAATTACTATCTAACGTTGCAGGAGTAGTTTGTGGTTTTCCATTTCATTTTTACATTTGTTATTGGTGTTTGAATCAGAAACTGCTATATTTAATTATGTATATATATATATATATATATATATATATATATATGTATAATAAGTAGTATTAAGTAAATATTTGTATGTATGTATTTATATATATTTATGTATATATATGTATATATACTGTATGAATTATGTAGAAATAGATGTTATTTACTTAGCTGTTTGCACTTTGCACCCACAATATTTTCTCTGCTTAGCCTTGAGGTAGACTGGCAGAGAATGCCCTGTTGCATTAAGTCCGCCTTTTTGTACTTGGTGTGCAAATAAAGCATAAATAAATAAATAAATATTTTTTTTAATTTGATAATAAATATGTAATTTTTTAATTCTTTATTTTTACTTTTTTCTTTAGTTTTGTCTGGTGAGTGCAAGTGGCCTCATAAACATGGAATTAAATGTAATACTACCCATGGAGGGCACCGCCACCTCTAGTTTTTTTTTATAGAATGTGGATGACAAACGAGCACACAGTTCATCTGATGACAAGTGGATGCTGAGGCTCATAGACATCTACATTTATCCTCAATTAAGAATCAAAATGCAGATGCGCTCTCACCCCTGAGGACTAAAATGGAATGCCTCGTTTCCAGTAAAAAAGGTATCCGGTTCTCTTCACTTACCATCAATATATTAAATTAATTTTAGAGATTCCTCTTAAAAGAATTTTAAATTATTGTCATCAAATAATTACAGACAAATTGGCTGAATGAAATGTGAATTTTGTGTTATTTTAAATGTTTCTTTTTCATTAGTCTGTGGAGTATGTGTCAAGGCAAAAAGCGTAGATTTAAAATTTTGTATATTTAATATTACCGTGTAGTGGTTGTGTAAGTATATTCACTAAACTATATCATCCCGTGGGTGTAGTAAGAGGTGACAGGGGAAACAAATCAAGAGAAGGGCAGCAGCGTCTTCCTAATAACGACTAAAAATAAAAAACTGCTGTTATCAACCCGCGTGCCAAGCGTGGCAACTTTAGCAAATATCAGCTAGTCTAGTTTTATTTTTTTTTACACGAAATCCATAATTATTTTTTTAATTAAAGTAGCTTAAGTTACTCCTTATAACATTAGCTATTTGACAATGAAAGCCCTGTCAAAATCAGTCCAGCCATTTGGGAGATTAGCCGGAACAAACAGACAAACAAAAATTTTAAAAATTGTTTTTTTTTCTTTTTGTTATAAGTACAGTATATACTTCCATATGCGTATAGTAAAGAATTATAAAATTTTCTATACGCAAACATGTTTCGTATCTTTGTCGTATATTTCACTACATACTCATAACACTCTCATTGACTTTGCTTATAAAATAACCCCTTATCATCGGATATATCATATAACAGATCAACAACAGTTTTACATGTAACATTAATGTGATTTGTTACCGAATAGATATGTATATCTAATATACACAATTTACTGTGAGTATTTAGTTAATGTAACTTACTCTTAATGTGACTCTGAACTCGAACTCGAACTCGTGAAAAAGCTGTTAAATTAAAAATTAAACACAAAACTAAGATTCCGTTCGAGTTGACAGCTTCGCTGATCTAGTGTTCATAAGCCTTACGTTCATAAGGTCGCAAGATTCAGTACAGGTTAAACCTAAATCAGTTATTAGGTTTTTCTATCAAGAAATTATTAATAGCAGCCCGGAGTCAGGAATTCTGCAGTGTTTTACCCCGGTGTCTCGAAAAGCACGTAAGACCGTTGGTTAT